ACTATTCTAGGTCTTCTGTTGTCTTTATAGCTTCTGTAGCCATCTCACAATTTCTACCAAGGCTGAGAAGTGACATAAAGGGTTCCCATCTGTGAACACAATAGCTCCTCCTTGCATTTAGGAGTCTTTGTAAATTTCTCCATGCAATGTTTTTTGGTTTTGTGTATAGGTTGTACATGTTTTATAAGTAGTTCATGCTTCTGATGTTACCATGATATTTTTAAAAGATTTATTTTATTTTTATTTATGTTCATGTGCCTGTGTGTATAACCATGCATGCATAGAGACCAGAGATGGTGATGGATCTCTCAGAGCTGGGGTTACAGACAGTTATAAGCTTCCCAGTATGGGTACTGAGATTTGAATTCAGATCCCCGAGGGAGCAAGTCCTCTTAACCGCTGAGCCTTCTCTCCAGTCCCATCATGGGACTTGTACTTCACATTTTTGATTGCTCATTGCTGGAATATAGACATATGATTGACTTTTAAAGTATTACCCTTATGCCTTGTGACTTTGCTGAATTCACTTCTGAGGTCTATAACTTTTATTATATATTCCTTGGCATTTTCTTCATAGACAAGCATGTCTATATTAAAAAAATATAAAGGACTTTGCTCATTCCTCTCATCCCTTTTCTTGCCTTATTTCCCTGGCTAGCTCCTCCAGCACCATGGGAAGGAGAGTGGTGATGGCAGATAACTTGGTCATCCTTTTCCAAGAGAAAAATGATTTATTCTTTCACCATTAAGTATGATATTAACTGCAGGTATTTCTTCTTTTAAATTTCATATTCATTTTACATACCTACCACAGTTCCCCTTTCCTCCCCTTCTCCTGCTTTCCCCAACCTACCCCTGTCCACTCCTCAGAAAGGGTAAGGCCTCCCATGGGGAGTCAACAAAGCCTGGGACATAAAGTTGAGGCAGGACCAACATCCCCCCCCCCCCGCATCTAGGCTGATTAAGGCATCTCTTCATATGGAATGGGCTCCTAAAAACCAGCTCATGCACCAGGGATAGATCCTGCTGCCAGGGGTCCCATAAACAGAGTAGGCTACACGGCTGTCACCCACATGCAGAGGGCCTAGATTATGGGTCATCTATAGGGAATTGTTTCCCTATAGTTTGGCTATATTGCCGCTGAAATCCATTTGAGGACATTTTCTAGAAATGAAAGGGGAATGGGTATCACTTACCTTGTGATAGTCTACTGCAAGGAAGGCGTTTCTCCGTGGCTTCAGCTCTGTGTTTTGATCTTGCTATGGGTGTGTCTTTTCATTAGATGAGCTGCTGTTTACAGGCATGTGGTCACCTGTGGTCACATGAGCAGTACAAGTGGGAAGGGTGGAGGTTCAGGTACTTTCCCTAGGACCATTGGGAGGCAGTGCAGTCCCTAGATAGGAACCATTGAAGTCTGTGTGCCCGGTTCCTATGCCACTCTGCAACATTAGGCAAATTGTTCAGCTTCCCAGGGTCACCATCTTCTTTCTGTGCATGAAATGAAAATCTCAGCAAATGCCTGAAGGCTTCTGAAGATTAAATAAGTGAACAAATAAAATGAAATGCTTACCACAGTGCCTACTGCCTAGTGCATTTTAAGGACGCTGTTTGGATGCACCTGATTTAAACTCAGTTTTCAGTAGCTGCTCACTGTCTCACATGAAGGACAACTGTCCCTTTAAAAAGTCTTTTTACCTGAAACCTCCCACACAGGTGCTTTGGCAGGAGGGTTGATTTCCTTTGTTTTGCAACATTGCTAGTGTGGTAAAGACTCTTCAAAATTCCCTGCATCTCCAGACAAACTGTTACACCTGTGGGCAGTGACATTCTCAGAGCTGATGCTGGCATAGAGAGAAGAGGTCTCAGGAACCCACTGGGTGCTGTGGAGGACCTACTGTTCCTTTGGATTGTCTTTTCTCTCTTTCTTTCTTCCTTGTGCTGTTTGAGGAGGCAAAGGAGCCTCTGGCAGCTTTTCAGTCAGTTATCTGTGCCTGTTTTTCTGTTGCTCAGGCCAGTGTGAAACTTACTCTCCATGTGGTACTACTTTTAAATAGTGCCCTCAACTCTGCACAGTGAGTTTTTCTTCCCACTGCCTCCCGTGGGCTCTCCAGAAGAGCCTAGCCCCGGCATTATCCTGTAAGATGATGGATACGTGTTGTTTACAGACTTTCTTTGGGAATTTCCAGAAATCCCATGAATGGGCTCAAGGGAATCACCAGTCTCTGCCCTGCCTTGACAGTTAGAATACTGACACCAGCTCAGGACAATACTGACTCAGGAAGCATCCACGCTGACACAGCTGACACCTTCTGTTCTTTCCCTTGACTGTCACATGATGCCCTGTTAGATGTGGAGCCGGAGAGTCACGTGACCTGACCCTCCTGACTGCACCCACCGCCCCGGGTCTTCATATTGAATTATACATGAATTATACAGAGGCTTTCTGCCAAGCTGTTTTTCCACTACCGTACAAAGCACCGTTAGAGGAGTCATCAGACAGGGAGAGCACCAGGCCCCACAGAGGCGAAGCCACCACAAGCTGGTTACTTTCCAACTGAGAGGCCTGTCAGTTTGGGGGTGATACAAATGGGAAGTCGACACATCAGGTGTGACTCTCTGTTTGAGTCTTAGTTCCTTGAGAACACACACAAGATCACTAAAAGTTCAATATCAAATCCGTCTGTTTTGAAGGGAAGAAAGAGAAGGAGAAACAAAGAAACGGTCAGCAGTGCCAAATTTAACCCTCCTCTCTGGCTAGATAAGGCGTGCCTCAGGCATCATGCGCAGGAGGCCCACACAAGGTGGCTCATTTGAGTGATGCCACTTGGTAGGTAGCAGAGAAGTAATGCACGCAGACAGGCTGTGGCTACTGTTCCCATGGTGCTGTTCATCTCTCACGAGGATCAGACACGGAGACCACTAGACACCAATTTGTGAGACAAGACGTTACAGGTCTGCAGGAAGCCACTGAAAGCAAAAGGGGGCGCCTGGTGACAGTGGAAGCAAAGAGGGAGGGGGCAGCTCACATTGAACAGTCATTTTGTCACCAGTGGCTGAACCTATGCTATGACTTTGCTAAACGGACAGTGTTAAACTGTCCCCTAAGTTCGTATCTGTACCTGTAGACTAGTGTGCCTATCCTACCTCATGAGCGCAGTTTCTTCAGACAGTGGCTGGTGTTTAACACAGACACTCACAACTGGCCAGGGTGCAGAGGATATATGTCTGTGGTGTGCTCGGCCACAAATGGAACATCTGTATCACTGCCAACATCCCCACAAAGTTTCGGGAATGGTGGCTGAGGAGGGGAGAGATGGGGAGGGCCGGAGTGACGTGGCAGAGTCACTGCATGGGCCCCCAGCAGCTGACCTTCTCACGATCAAGCCACTCGGTATTCCAGCCTGGAGGGGAGAAGGGCTCAGGAACCCCACACCTGACCAGGGAGCTGCAGACAGTTAATGGCTTCCCTGGAAGACAGAGTCAATTCCCTTTAAGGATAATGGTTCCAGGTAGGTGTACCGCACTATAGTGAGCAGCCCCACACCCATGAGTCTATGGACAACACAAATCGGACCTGGTAGCTGTTTAAAAAGGGGGGACATCAAGTTGGGGTGGGGAGGTGTCAGTCAATCTGAGAGGGCTAGAGTCAGGACTCGAGGAGGGTCAAAATACGTATGAAAACCCCCAAAGATTAAATAAAAATATTAAATATAAAAAGAATTGTCAGCTTCAAGTGGGACATCTCTATTACACCCCCTTCCCAAATCTCTGGGGTCAGTGCAGGAGAGGGGACAAGATTGTAAGAGGCAGAAATGCTGGGTGATTGCAAGGAGACAATATTTTCTATACACACCCAGGTACTTAGGAACTCAAGGTGGTTGTGACAGCACGCACAAGACCCGTGCAAGCTCAAGCCAGGCAAGATCCACCGTGGAGAGGGGGGCTGAGTGTGAAGTCCTGCCCCTAGCTGAGGGCTATGGCAGGAGCTGGCAGATGGAGTGAGAGTTTGAGCAGCGCAAATTTGACTGGATGGGTTTTTAAGAAGAGACATAAAGTAGGGCAGTTAGGAAAGTGGGGGTGAACTGGAGAGGAGCTGGGAGGTTGGGGTTGAATGTGAACCAAAATACACTGTATAAATTTTTCAAACAATTAATTAAAATATTATTTTAAAGCATTCCTCAAGAAGTGACTAATCCTATGCAGTTTCACTGTGTTTGGGTGTGTGCTGGGGTCACTCACATTATTCTCTGTTTTTGTTTTGTGGTGCTGAGGTTGACCATCACACATGCACCAATTAAGTACTCCACCACTAGACCACACTACCTGTCCTCTTTCTATTTATTTATTTATTTGTAGACAGGGTCTTCTCACTAAGTTGCCAAGGCTGGCCATGAACTTTCAGTATCCCTGTCTCAGCCTCCTGAGCAACTGAGATTACAAGCCTGTATCACAAGAAACCTAAAATTGTTCCTTGAACATGTGCTGCCTCCTAAGTATCAGCTATAACTAGACACCATGCCTGATGTGTGAGAACTTCACACATACACACACACACACACACACTAGACTCCCTGAACACCATCAGGACATTCATTCTGCTCACAAGTTGCTGTCACAGGTCATGCAGTGAGCCTCTCGGTGACTTTACAATGCCCACACTTACGTTGTATTGACAGTTTGGATATTTACTGGTTGGTAAAGGCCTTTAAGCCTAGGTACTTGGGGGGCTGGGCCAGGAGGACCACCAGTTTCAGCCCACCATAGACAACTCAGTGAGGTTCTATCTCGGGATATAAAGTAAGAAGAGGATACTGTTGGGTGGTGACATGGTAGAGTGCTTGGTGAGTATGCAAGAGGCCCTGGTTTCAATTCCCAGCACCCTTCCCCCCTCCTCAAACACACATAGACCCAAAAGGCAAGAAAACAAAAGAAAAAGGAAATTTTCAAGTTCACTTTTCTCTAAATGGTACTTATGGACGTTTTCTCCCATCATTTGGCAGGTGGTAACCAAGAAGGGGGATTTCTTCAGTGCCTGGAACTCCTGTATGCACCATGTTACCTCACTGTCTCTGGCACACATTCACAGAGGTGAGTTGGTTCTTGGTGAATGTTCATGGTTGAGTGGCTCGGGGCCCTGAAGGCCACAGGGGAACACAGTCTGTAGAAGGGAAGTTTTGCCACCATTCTGAGCCTCTTGCTAGATGTAGGGCCCCAAGTACCTTCAAGAGACTTAAAGCCTGTTGTAACTGAACTCCCTGTTTATGAGAAAACTAACCAGAGAGACAGCCCACAGGACCCACTTACTGAAGAGGAGCTGGTTTGTACACATCAGTCCCCCCAGGCCCTTATCCAACAACATCTGGAATTCCTGAATAAATAAACAGGGGACTACATACACTAAATAAAAGCAACTGTCTGAAGAGGTCCTAGCCCTGTTCCAGCTGCTTAGACCTTGTCCTCAAATTTAGCAGTGGTGTCAATCCACAGTCCCTGATTCTCATCCAAGGACAGTTTTACCCTCAAAGGAGTGTTTGAGCATGTTTGAAGATGTTTGGATTGTTTGATGCAGACACTGTTATTGGCAGGTGCAGTGAAAGCTAAAGTACCATTAAATGTCCTCTATGTTGCACACCAGTCCCCAGTAGTCCAGTATGTAAATAACACTGAGAGTAAGAATATTCATTTTGGTCTAAAGATATCAAAATAACACAAGAAAATGAAACATTAAGTGTTTTGATCCACAATTTCCTATCATTGAAATTATTTAATATCTGGAATAATTTCATTCACATCATGTCACTGTGTGAGGGCAAGGTATTAAAAGAGAAAGGCAAGGCCCTCACCGAGCATGCTGGCTGTGTGGGACTTAATCACATGGGGCTACCGTTGGTCACGTAGAACAGGGTCAGCCAGGTTGGTTCCCTAGCAACTGTGCCTGGGTGTTTCTCATCTCATAGGAGGGAATTCCTCAGTGGATCTGTTAAGAGTCAGGACAGTTATTGTGGTCATCCACCCAGGAAAGAATATGCTTGACCAAACTTCCCAGCCTACCCACCATACTCTCTCTTTCCAACCAGCATGCTCCAAAAAGAACAGGGTGTGCTGTGGGATTTTGCTCCAGTAGCTTCAGGGATGCCCAGCATCTCACTCAGAGATGAACTAGAGAGAATGCCTTCATCTCAAATGAAGCCTGGCTTCTTCCCTCTGAAGTCCAGCTCTGGGGACCTTGTGTGTTAGAGTGGGTGTCATAATTCAGGCCTAGTGAGCTCAGGATGGAATGAAGATGTGACAGGAACACAGGTTCTTCACAGAGACAGGAAGCAAGTGGTCCATAGGAGGGCCACCTCAGGATGGCCTTTGCACACAGAGACCCAACCCTGGAATAGCCAGTGCCACATCAGCATCCCTGATTCTGATTGGATTCTACCTTCCGCTCCTTGGGAGAAGAAAGGGGAGCGAGGAAGGGACAGTGAGGATGGGGAATGGGGAAAACATTCACATCTCTATGAGTTACTAAGAGACAAGATTGGGTACCCTCATTTGGAGATCCAGAAATTTTGTTTGTATACCCTAAAGTGTGTTGGCTGTGGGGAAACTGATTCATAGTAACTGAACTTAGAAAAGATCAGTGTAATTTGGGTGGTGGTGGAGAACATCTTTCCCAGCACTTGAGAGGCGAAGGCAGGCAGATCTCTATGAGTTCAAGGCCAACATGGTCTACAGAGCGAGTTCCAGGACAGGCTCCAAGAAAACAAGACAAACACTGTCTAGAAAAAAGAAAAGAAATGACTGTTATAAACTCCAGAATGCCTGTTTATTTGTTCAAGTCAAAACCCAACTGCCGGGGTCATCTGCAAGTCATACACAGATAGTAACTGAGGGCGCAGCAGGTCATGCCATCTGCATAGCTCATGCCTTCATGGACATCCATCTGAGAATCCAGCTACCAGGGATCCTGTGGTCACAGGCTGTCTACGTCTCTGCACTGTCTTGATACTTTGGTTCCTGGCTCATTTACTTAAAAAAGTTGTGTAAACCAGCTTTATCTATTGGAGGTTTATTTTTTTCCCCTGTATTTGTTGATTTGGCTAAAATACACTGGAACACAAGCAACACCCCCCCCAACACACACACACCCTAGCTGAAGGCAGTTATGTCTCATACCTCTTCACCCACAGCATGCAGCTTGCATTGGACTCATTATGGGACATACAAAGGCCCAGGTGCTGGAGATCTTCCTCTGGGCCCCTGTGTACTGACCACAGATGCCACCCATCCCAAAACCTGGGTCTAAGGTGAAGGCATGGAGAGTCTTTGGCCGTCACCAGCTTTTCATCTAGAGCTGGATGGATGGTTCACGTTAGACGCAGGACTGTGGGTCTTCCAATAACTCTGTACACTGCAAGTGTAGCTGAGCTTGGTGTGAGGACTGAGGACATGGGCTCTGGGAGATGGCTATCTGAGTTCATGTTCTTCCATCTGCTCTGTGGCTACAAGCGAGTCACCCAATGTCTCATTTACAGAGACTGTGAGACTATGGCCAGTATTAATCCAGATGATCCCCTGAAGTCCTTGTCATCATGTCTGACTCATTCTACGTAATGAAAGGAAAATGTTGTTAATCACAATCCTAAAAAAAAAAAAAAAAAAAAAAAAACCTGTTTCTGTAAGTGAAGTAGATCTTGTCCCTCAAGAGGAAGTTAAACAAGTTGAGTGGTAATGTTTGAGGTTGAATACCAGGAAGAAGCATTGAAGCTTTGCTGTCACCTCAGCACTAAAGTAATCCAATCCATTTTGAACTGTCAACTGGCTAATAACAACAACAACAAAAAAGTGATTTTCAGGAAATTACCTCCATGTTTAAGACCAGATACAAAGTTCTTAGGTGTATAAGACAGAAAATTAATTCAATGACAGTGTTTGGGGAACTCAGAGTAATCTGAAATAGAAAACTCTATCTGTAGTGCAAAAGTCTAGGAGCGGAGTAGATGGCTTCATGGTTAAGAATGCCAGGGCACACATGAGGATCTATGCAGCTGGGTGTGGCTGCATGTCCCTGACTCCCAGTGCCTTGGTGGACAGTGACAGGAGGATCCCTGGGGCTCACAGTCTGCTTGCCTATTTTCCTGTTCATTGAGAGGCCCGTCTTAAGGGAATAAAGTGGGGGATGATGAAGCAGGACTCCCAACATCCTCCTCTGGCCTCTTCATGTACAAGTGTGTTCATGTGCACACACTCCTGTGCCTACAGCACACACAATACCAAAACAGTGCGTGCAATGGAAAGCTTTGAACAGATAGACATGTAGCAGGTCCTAAAGACAGAAGAGCACTGAGCCTGTGGTAGCCAGGAAAATCTAGCCCAAACGTTGCCACATTCACATCCTGTTGCTCTCTAGCAGAGTTCTCCAGGGGAAGGGACAAGAGCTCAAAGAGCCCAGCTTTGCTGACCTGCACCGATGTTGGCTGTGGACACTTTTGAAGGAAGAGCCTGAAGAAGGGGAGAGGGGAATCAGTCTATTAAAGCTCAAACCTTAACATCTTAACAGGCAGAAAATGAACTCAGAATTGAGCCAGTTTTATTAGGAACAAATGGGGGAGAAAAAGACTTCTGGCACCAGTACAGTTTGTCACCTGAAGACAAGGGAAAACTAGGCTTGAGATGAAAATGTTAAGCAGTCTCCGGTGACTTCTGGAGTGGGATGTAACCATTACAGTGATGAATTGGTATTTTTCTGTGATGCACATATTTATCTTGCCCCAGAAAGAACAGTTCTGAAACCTCCTGGTATCTAAGCCCCTAAGGGTGTAGCCATTCCAGGCAAAAAGAGAAAGCAAGCATTCATTAAAGAAATGGCATCATCCATGCTTCCCAGCTCTGTGCAGAGCTGTCTGTGACGTCTCTCAAAGCTGGCGAGCTTCGTGTAGCAGGAAATCCCTTTCTACTTCTTAATAAAGCGCCTGACAATTTTGAATGTCCGTGTTAAGGGCAGGTTGTAATTATAATTAGAACACAGAATGCCGTGGGGTTCTGCCTACTGAGAATTAATTTCAGATTCTTTTCAAGGACGTGTGTGTTTTGAAATGAGGCTTTCTTTGTTAATAAAAACATGATTGCATGCATTATTTAAAACAGTGTGTCGTGTTTTGCCTATTAGTGCTGATTCCAATATTCTTCATGGGGTTAGCACTTTCCTCCCAGTTGGGAATGGGGTTAGTCTTTGGACAAATTGCATTTGCTATGTTTAGCTTAAGCTTGCATCCACTTCTGTGAAAATATGAAAATAAAATTTCTACCTCCTTGAATGCCTTTTAACATTATCGAAGCACTGAACGCCACCTCTTCAACTGGAAATCCTGTGTGGGTTTAGGAACTTGTCACCCTTTACAACTACCAAAGTGTCACCCCATGCCACTGTCAGCCTTTCAACTGAAAGACAAGGTTGCCCTTTGTGAGAACCAGAGGTTTCATCTTACTGTTTGAATAACAGGGTTTGTGCAATGTTTTGTTGTTTGTGCCAGAGTCTGAAAGATGGAGGAGTGTGTCAGAGAGGAGAACTCAAGGCCCTGTGCCATCTGGGACAGTGAGTTCTTTCTCTTGCCACTAGTCCTATCAACTTGGTAGCACAAACACTACCACAGTGGCCTGTGTAGATTCAATGTGTCTTGTTTTCTTTACATCTTGCTGTTGATAAAATACCCGTCAAAGGAGAAAGATTTGTTCTGGCTCGCAGTTCAAGAGCACAGTCCAACAGTCCATCATGGTGTCGAAGTCAAGGCAGCAGGAGCTGGAAGCAGCTGCCTGCATCACACCCACAATAGAGAATCAGGGGGAATGAGCACAACTCATCTCTGCCATAAAGATAATTCTGCAGAGGGACTCCCTAAAGCCCATCTCCCAGAGGACAGCAGACATTTGTCTAGTTGATTCAAGTCACTCCAGGGAGGGGGTCCTCGGTATGGCTGTACCTGAGCATGGCTTCTCTGTGTCTATGCCCATTAAATACACAGATGGTGAGGCTGGCCAGGGGGTCTAGGCAGCTGAGAAAGGGCAGGTGTAATTGGCTGATGGGTCTCTGCAATACAGCC